AATTTCATGGCTGCTGTCACAGTCTGCGGTGATCTGGGATCCCAGGAACGTGAAGTCTGTCACTACTTCCACGACTTCCCCTTCTATTTGCCAAGGAGTGATGGGGCTGGATGCCATGATCTTAGTTTTTTTGATGTTGAGCTTCAAGCCCACTTTTGCGCTCTCCTCTTTTACCCTGAGCAAGAGGCTCTTTAGGTCCTCTTCACTTTCTGCCATTAGAGTGGTATCATCTGCATATCTGAGGTTGTTGATCTTTTCCCCAGCAATCTTAATTCCCGCTTTTGATTCATCCAGGCCAGCATTTATTTGATGGAGACCACGGCCATACAGCCTGGAAAATCGACAACAACTAATGAACTCTGGCTGTGAAAGCCTTCGACAACATAGTTAACAGGTGGCAAGAAAGAGGGGCTAGTGTGTAACGCCACTCAATCTTCCTGAAGGGAGAGAAGCTCATCGCTGAGCTGGAGGATAATTCTGAAGACCTATTTGTTAAGAGCACAAGAAAGCTACTTTGAGCATGTGATTTCTCAGTGTAGCAGATCTCAAAAGAAGTTTGAGTAGAACTCTCAACATCCTGTGAAGATTCACAAATGGAAATGATGCAGAGCATGATGACTGGCTAAGGCTGCTTCCTTTGGGAAGGCTGTAACCAACGGTCTAGCAGGCAGGTCTTTTTGCAACAAGATAGGGAACCAATGACGGGCTGCCACCTGGCGCCAGAGAGGAGTTCAGTCTGATGTGTTCCATCCTGGAAGTAATGGAGAACCTGCAGTAGAGGCATTGGTTTTCTTCCCCCAACTCTGCCAGTGGAAAATTGCCCAGGTGGCTTGAAAGATCTCGTGGGTCAAGAGCTTTAAAAAAGCCAAGACCTCTGGAGGCCTTTTGTGGCTAGGCAAGTCACTCTAGTGTCTTCTTCTCAATTTTCATGCAAAGAAGAGGATCTTATCCCAGAGCAGATGGAAGAAGGGACCCGTGGAATGATGCTGTAGTCCATTGCAATGATCCCTAATGGTAGCTGTGCCAACACCACCAGGTCAAAGAACTGTTAGAAGTGGAGGACTTGGCGCTGTCTCCTATCTCAGACTTGAGAAGATGGCACCAAAGAGCATCCTTTCCTTCTGCTATCTGATCCTTTCCTTTGAAGTAGAATGCTACACTTAGGGGCAATTTCCTCTGCTTCCGCTCCCACACCCTCTTCTCTCTTGCACGCACACAAAGAAGGCGCTCAATCTCCGTCTTGCACCGCGGAGGCTGGACATGCTTCCAGCATCCAACACCATCTAGTTAGTTAGAATCGGTAATCAATCTCTATCTCTCGCCTGCACCCTCCGGCATGTATTTCCTTTAATAAAAGTTACTTATGAATTTTAGAACTGGCCGCTGATTCTGTGTGACTTTGTAAGTCTGTGGCCACGGTGAGCCCCAAGCTCTGCTGCGTTAAAGCCTTCGCGCACGCTGCTATTTTTCCGTGGTCCCCCGGCAGTACCAAGTCTGGCAGAACTAGGTTCTCCTTGGCCAGAAGGATACAATGAAGATGTCCTCTGGTTTCCCTTAACTGTGTTGAACTCCCTGGCTTTGAGTAGAGATGTTGGGAGGGTATATAGGAGCCCTTATGCCCTGGGGGCCGAGAGAGCATCCTCGCCCCCCCCCCCACTAATATGCACCTGTGCTGGAATTTTGGCACATTGTTGTTGATTGGGGACATTGGGAGGTCCAGGCAGCCAATATGCCACCTCCTGGTCACTACATGGAAGACTCTGGAGTTTTGAGCCCCTCCCCTAGATCCAGGTCCTGCTTTATTTATTTATTTATTTTATTTATATTTCAACTTGGTATACCGCCCTGACCCCGAAGGGTCTCTGGGCGGTTTACATGGTGGGTTCTAAGAACGCTTGATCCCTAACTAGGGCCACATGATATAGGGGCGGGGCTGCCTACCGGCACCAAGGTGGTGGGCCTGTTGTTGCTCTGGCTCGGCTTCTTCCAGGCAATCTCTGGCGCTTCGGGACAACTTTCGTCGGCGGGACCGTTCAGGCGCACGGCCCATGTCCGCTTCGGCCTCGGCTCTGTCCATTAGGCTCCGCCGCGCCCGCGTTGCACGTCATCGCGCACCTCCCGGTCTCCGCCTCCGCCATAGTCAGCCGTACGATGTTATACTGGCCACCAGGGATCGCTCAGTCGACTTTTGTTGCCGCTGCATCGCCATTCTACCTCCACCGCCGATGCTCTGCCGCCGCCGATGCCACCACCACTCACCTCGTCGGAGGAGGGTGTCCCCTACCCATCTAAGGGTAGGTACCCATTTTGTCTACTCGCTTATTTTTAATTGATTTCGAGCCGCTGGGTGGGTGGGAGCTGGGACTAGGGCCAGGAGCTCACCCCGGCCGCGGTGGTTCTCGAACAGCCATAGTGGCTGTTCATAGTTGTTAAAGCAGGCGTTTTACCGTCTGCGCCACTGCTCCCTGCTGACTGAGATAGTCTGCCTTCAGGCTGTGGCGTATCTGGAGGTGTTGAGCTTGGCAACAGGAAGATGGGATTCTGCCCACTGAAGTAGTAGGGGCACTTCCTGTCCTGTCAGGAAGTCTGCCCACTAAAGTTGCAGGGGCACGCCTCGTCATTTCTGGGCGTGGAACAGCGGTCACTACGGGTGTGGAGGGGGAGGTATCTGTGAATTTCCTGCATTGTGCAGGGGGGTGGACTAGATGACCCGGAGGCAATGTTCCCTCTAAGCTATGGAGTCCTGTGAGCAAAAATTCTACTTTGTGAGCTACCGACATTAAAGTTGTGAGCGAGTGATTTGGCTACTGCATGAATGAGTTTGCTCTGGAGCCAGCCTTCATGCACGAAGGCAAAAATGTGTGAGCCAGAGGCTAAAAAACTGTGAGCTAGCTCACACTAACGCAGCTTAGAGGGAACACTGCCTGGAGGTCCCTTCCGACTCTATGATTCTATGAGGGAGGGAGACCTTGCAGCTCCCTGATGGCTGAAATGGTGTTTACCATCTGTTTACCGTCGCTGAGGAGGAGGGTGTGAGAGTCTTATCAAGAGCTGGGAGGAGTGTAGCGCAAGCGAGATCACACTCTGCTTCAACTATTCCATGTTGTGCCTTATTTCCATGTTGTGCCAGCTTCCTTGGGTGAATAGGGGATGCGAGTGTACACAGAGTATGCTGGCATCCATAGCAGATTCCACTCTGAGAGGGTTTAGAGTTCCTCCTCCCACCATATGAGAGTCCTGGAGCTATCAACTGAAGGACCAATGCGCACAGGGAATCATAGCTACATTCCCGCCGATGATGCTGACAGAGGTGCCATGAAAAGGCATTGCATGTCACAAGGGAGCTACTGCTGCCCTAAGACTGAAGCAACATTTTTCTTGGAGGGCAACAGAAGATTAAGTGGAGTCCATCTACGTACCCAGAGGGAAAATGGTCTGCGAATGAGGGTGAAGAAGAGAACAACAAGAAGAGAAGAGACTGGATTTATACCCCGCCCTTCACTCAGAGTCTCAGAGCGGCTTACAAATTCCTTTCCCTTCCCCTCCCCAGAACAGACACCCGGTGAAGTACATAAGAACATAAGAGAAGCCAATGTTGGATCAGGCCAATGGCCCATCTACTCCAACACTCTGTGTCACAGTGGCCAAAAATACCAGGTGCCATCAGGGAGGTCCACCAGTGGGGCCAGGACACTAGAAGCTCCCCCCCCCCCAAGCACCAAGAATACAGAGCATCCCTCGCCCCAGACAGAGAGTTCCTCTCTGTACCTTGTGGCTAACAGCCACTGATGGACCTCTGCTCCATATGCTTATCTAATTCTCTTTTGAAGCTGTCCATGCTAAGGGAGAAAAGTACTTCTTTCTCGACCTGCTTTATCCCATGCATAATCTTATAAACCTCGATCATGTCACCCCTCAGCCATCGTTTCTCCAAGCTAAAGAGCCCCAAGCGCTTTAACCTTTCTTCATAAGGAAAGTGTTCCAACCCTTTTATCATTCTAGTTGCCCTTTTCTGCACTTTTCCCATTGTTATAATATCCTTTTTGAGGTGTAGTGACCAGAATTGTACACAGTACTCCATATAAGGACGTACCATCGATTTATACAAGGGCATTATGATACTGGCTGATTTGTTTTCAATTCCCTTCCTAATAATCCCCAGCATAGCGTTGGCCTTCTTTATTGCAGTCACACACTGTCTTGACATTTTCATTGAGTTATCTACTACGACTCCAAGATCTCTCTCTTGGTCAATCTCTGCCAGTTCAGACCCCATCAACGTGTATTTATAGTTAGGGATGTGCAGATCTGTCCTCGCAGAGGAGGGAGAGCTTTTACCTGAATAAAACTTGGTCTTAAAGGTGCCACTGGACTGTTTTGGGCTGGGGGCCCGGGGGGCCCTGCAACCTACCTGGCTGCTTCTTGCTCTGACTGAGGGCTGCTGGGAGCAGGGGGTGGGGCTTGTTGCATGTGCCCTCCCCCTGGGCTCTTTACTGCCAGAGCTCCGCTCCTGTGCGCTCCTGCAGGAAATGACCCCTGGAGCTTGATCTATCTTCCAGTTAATTAGGTTTTACTAACCAGAAACTCAAAGGAAAAAATCTTTATTTAGGGCCCCCCCCTCCAATTTAGCAGGACTTCTTACCACAGCAGCTAACAAAACAGGGCCAGAAAGCGCTCACCCATTTGTCGAGCTCTCATCTAGAACACAAAACAGCGCTTTACTTTGTTATTTATTTATTTGGAAAATGTGCATGTGGCCTATCCAGAGACTTGCTCAAGGCAGCAACAGGCTGTCATATCTGTACTACGTTCTGCAGCAGAGGCATACAGGTAAAGACCCAAATGTCTGCACAGGGGGCATGGCAAAATAAATAAATAAAGGGTAGTTAGTGCGCCCAGGAGACCCAATAGCAAAGGACAGAAAATGCATTCCGATGGCATATCGCTGACATGTTTGTTTCTGATGGGTGAAGCAGTACATTAAATTGCCTGGGCCTCACCTGTAGTTCTCTGTCGCACCACATTCCTGGCTTTCTCAACGCCTGGCACTCCCGAGGTGGTAGCACTCCGAAATCTCATGGGTTCCACAACTTCCGGATGATTTCTCCAGCTTAAAGAAAAAGATCTGCCGACTGTAACGGTTTTCTGAAGTTCCAAAACACCACCTTTGAGACAGAGAAATAATACAGGGAAGGTGAATCCAGTGTATGCGAGACATTAGACACGAGATTTTAGAACAAATACATTCAAGTTGTTTGTTAATGTTAAGTAAGAAAGGCCCCTTGATACTGTATAAATTGGAACGCTGAGGTATATAGCTTTGGGACTAAAGGCAAAGTGTTATTTTGCGATATTTTAAGACAGAAATTCAAAAAATGGGAACAATCCACTAAGACGTTCCCCTGCTCAAACCATACCAACTTAAAAAGCGTTAACTGCTGTGCCCATACATTTCAATGGGACTCTTGCTAGAGGATTTCTCAGTGATTCGTACCCGGCATAACTATTGGTATATTTATTTAACTGAAAGAAATGTGAATTCAAAAACTACTTTCAAAACATACGCTCATTGTTGGAAGCAAGAAAGAACTCCCGATATCTGGGAATGGTTGAAAAAATAATTTTTAAGGTTGAGATGGACAAAATGACGAGAAAGCTTAAAAATCAAGAAGCAGAAGATTTTTTTGCAGATTGGAAAGACTTTAAAGACTACTTGGAGAAATACTGGGATGTAAAAAACAATCTATTTTGCTTTGACAATTATTAAGGTTGGATGGACATTTAGATTAAATTTAAACATACATAGATAAACAGATAAAAAGATACATTACCTGAAAGAATTATGTTGTTAAAGAATTGGAAAAGGAGAAAAAAAATTTAAGAATGTAATAGAGGTTTGAGCACTGTGGGAAGTCAGAAAGGGGGGAGATATTTGCATAAAAGGATATGAAAAGTTTGTTATATGACGTATAATTTTACTTATTACTATATCCTAATAAAATTGTTTTTTTTAAACTACTTTCAAAACATAACAAACACACCAAATTTACTTGCATCATGAAAACTGACCATAAACTTTAGTGATTTATTACCACCCAAAGGGAAATGGCTCCCACTGGGGCATGAAATGGCTCCCATAAGGTGTGTGAAGATGGCGAAACTTGACTCAGGGGGACAGAAGAGGCATATAAGCAGAATACTAGATAGGAGTGGTAGTTGGAAGGGAGATGCAGAAAGCAGAGAAATCGTGGAGAAAAGCCGGACTCCGTTTTTGGGGAAAAAGGGCCAAACGTTTTTTGGCGAGCGGGGTCAAGCTCCCCCGACCCATCTCATCTTTCCCCACACAGCAGATGCAGGGAATATCATTTTAAAGATCAGAGAGAGACCTTTCCCTTTTCTGCTCGGGGCTGTCCCGCCCACTGTCATTTTGAGAAGCCAAACTCCCGCCCAAGTGGCCAGTTATTTATATAACTCTGAAGCTGCACGTGCTTGGAATAATCCAGTTGCCACTCAAAAATATCAAAATAACTCCTTACTGGGGGTTGTTTCAGCTTCTGGTATGGGGGAGGCAGGAGCCCCTCTTCTCCACATAAGAACATAAGAGATGCCAATGTTGGATCAGGCCAAAGGTCCATCCAGTCCAACACTCTGTATCACACAGTGGCCAGAAATACCAGGGACCATCAGGAGGTCCACCAGTGGGGCCAGGACATTAGAAGCCCTCCCACTGTTGACCCCCCGCAAGCACCAAGAAGACAGAGCATCACTTGCCCCAGAGTCCCTATCTATACCTTGTGGCTAATAGCCACTGATGGACCTCTGCTCCATATGCTTATCTAAACATGCTGCAGTTTCAAACTGACAATGCCACAGGATGTGGTGGCAGCTACAAGCATGGACAGCTTCAAGAGGGAATTAGATAAACAAATGGAGCAGAGGTCCATCAGTGGCTATTAGCCACAAGGTATAGATAGGGACTCTGGGGCAAGTGATGCTCTGTCTTCTTGGTGCTTGCGGGGGGTCAACAGTGGGAGGGCTTCTAATGTCCTGGCCCCACTGGTGGACCTCCTGATGGCACCTGGTATTTTTGGCCACTGTGTGCTGGACTGGATGGGCCACTGGCCTGATCCAACATGGGCTTCTCTTATGCTCTTACGTTCAATGGCTCCCTCTGATTCTGTAAAATGACATTCCCTGCAGCTGTTGTGCAACTGCAGGGAAAGTGTGTTCAGTCAGGGGAACCTAGACCCAAATTGCTAAAAAAACACACCCTAACATCTAGTTCAGCCCTAAAGCAACAGCTTAAAGTGTCCTAGGCCAGCCAGACAGGCACGTTTACCTTGACAGCTGGCAAGTCTAAAGTCTCCTGGAGTTTAACACAATGATTTTTAACCTAATCAAGAAGAAGAAGAAGAAGAGAAGAGATTGGATTTATACCCCGCCCTTCACTACCCAAAGGTGTCTCAGAGCGCCTTACAAACTCCTTTCTGTTCCACTCCCCACAACAGACACCCTGTGAGGTAGAAGAAGAAGACATTGGATTTATACCCCACTCTTCACTACCCAAAGGAGTCTCAGAGCGGCTTACAAACTCCTTTCTGTTCCACTCCCCACAACAGACACCCTGTGAGGCAGGTGGGGCTGAGAGAGCTCTTGACAGAAACTGCCCTTTTTCAAGAACAGCTGTGCCAGAGTTATGGCTTGCCCAAGGTCATCCAGCCAGGTGCAAGTGGAGGAGTGGGGAATCAAACCCGGTTCTCCCAGATTAGACTCCGCGCACTTAACCACTACACCAAACTGGCTCTCTGAAAGGTTTACCTTTCCCTCTTTGTATCTTCTCCTTTTGCTCGCTTAGCTTATCCAGAGGCAAATTGGTCATTTCGACTCCATACACGGTTCTTGCCAAAACGGACGTCAGAGAATCCATGATGTTGGCCCATTCCATTATCAGCTCCTCCCAGTCCGTAAGGGAGGACAGCACGCGCAGCAACTCGTCCCACAGCTCTCGAGAAATATAAACGCTCAGGTTTGCTCGGATCCAAGCCACAATCAGAGTCTGGAGTGGTGAGAGAAGAGGAGGATGGGGAGTGGGGGGGACACAGAGTAACCTGAAGTTACAGTTTGACATCCGTTCTTTTCTTTAGCAAAAAGATTCACACACACACACACACACACACACACACACACAAACCTGGAATATGCGACCCCACTCACAACATAGATTAAACAACATTAGCAGGGCTATTTTTGGGCAGGAACGCACAGGAACGGAGTTCCGGCTGGCTTCCGAGTTGGCCACACCCAGCAGGAACTCATTAGCATAATAGGCCACACCCAACAGCAGAAACTCATTAGGACTGGCTACATTAGAGGTGTGTGGCCTAACATGCAAAGGAGTTCCTGCTACAAAAAAAAGGCCCTGGATTTGGACAACAAACAAGGTAAACAGAATAAGAAGCAAAAGGTGGCTGGCTGGATGACCACACTTCTGGTAACATGGGGGTGTGGCCTAATGTGCCAATGAGCTGTGCTGTCAGGGGTGTGGCCTAATATGCTAATACGTTTCTGCTGTTGGGTGTGGCCTATTATGCTAATGAGTTCCTGCTGGGCTTTTTCTACAAAAAAAGCCCTGAACATTAGTATCTTAGTCCCTTGCAATCGTTCCCCTGACTTATTCAGATGATATCCCTGTATCCTTCCCTTGCTCTTCTAGAAGTTGAAGCAGTTATTTCCATCATTTGCAAATTACAAACCTGTGGTAAATCCAAGGGATCCTGTTCTTGCAATTAAAAACTTCCAGGCATGTAACACTTTTTAAATTTTTTGGCAACAGCACATGAATCATTCAGAGAAACCCAACCCCCCCCCTTTGACAGTCACTATATTTTTACTCTGTCCCTTTTTCTAGATACAATTTCTACAGTCTGTTTCAGTCTTCTGTTCCTTTGCAAAGAGCAAGACCTACCCGGAATAGCAATTCTGCCAAATTTTGAGCAAACAGGTCCTTAATTTGTCCATCCTTTGGTTTGTGCATGACGGCTTCTGTTATCCTAAGCAGTACTTGTAGCATTTGCTCCCTAAGACAGAATCGAAAATCATAGATTGAAATAACAGTGACAAAGCTTGAGCTATTCTTACATAGGATCAGGCCAATGGCCCACCCAGTCCAACACTCTGGGTCACACAGTGGCCAAAACCCAGGTGCCATCAGGAGGTCCACCAGTGGGGCCAGAACTCCAGAAAGCCCTCCCACTGTCCCCCCCCCGGCACCAGGAATACAGAGCATCACTTGCCCCAGACAGAGTATTCCATCTAGACCTTGTGGCTAATAGCCACTGATGGACCTCTCCTCCAGATGTTTATCCAACCCCCTTTTGAAGCGCTCTATGATTGTAGCCGCCACCACTTCTTGCGGCAGTGAATTCCATGTGTTAATTACTCTTTGGGTGAAGAAGGACTCCCTTTTATCTGTTCTAAGCTTACAGCTCATTAATTTCATTGAGTGCCCACGAGTTCTTGTATTGTGAGAAAAAAGAAAAGTAGTTCTTTACCTTCTCTATCCCATACATAATTTTGTAAACCTCAATCATGTCACCCCTCAGTCGTCATTTCTCCAAGTGAAAGAACCCTAACCTCTTCATAGGGAAGGTGTTCCACCCCTTTAAACATTTTAGTTGCCCTATTGTTATAAGATGATGTATAGATGGTATATGACACCAAAAAAGATTGCAAATATAAACAGTAATATGTCAAACAAATGTTGGAAATGTAAAAAAACGGAAGATTTGTATTCACTTACCGTGAAGCTTCCTTCTCGGTGGTCCAGAGTGGGGCAGTCCTTGACTCCTTACTCCTGGGAAAGCACCTCCCCCTTCCATAGGCAGGGCCGGCAAACTTTGATCCCAGAGGGGAGGGGCTTATCCTCTGATCCCCAGTCATACCGAAAGCCACCTCCGAGCTGCTGTAAATACACTTAAAAAATAACTCCTTCCCCCTCAGACAACCAGGGAATACCATCACAGCCACGGGCTTAAACAAATACAAACCAGTATTTTAACCATTAGAGAAAAGAAACAGCAACAGTCCGCCACATCACGTAATCATTTAGACCATATTCACGAACAGCTGAACAACTGCAAAACATAAATGGACCGGAAGGTGCTTTCCCAGGAGTAAGGAGTCAAGGACTGCCCCACTCTGGACCACCGAGAAGGAAGCTTCACGGTAAGTGAATACAAATCTTCCGTTCTCCGGTGGTCCAGGAGTGGGGCAGTCCTTGACTCCTTACTCCTGGGACGTAAAAAAGCAGTGCTCCCCCCGGGTGGGTCACACAACTTCCGGTGCCTACAGGGCCTAAAGGAGCCCTCTACTGTCAAATACTGCTTTTGCCAAGGCTAGTTTGTTAATCCTATAGTACTTTGTAAAGGAATGGACAAATCTCCGTGTCACCACCTTACAAGTGACTTCTAGGGGTGGCAAGGCCCTATATGCCACCAATGTGACTGCCCCCCATAGAGTGCCCTGTGACCCCTACTGGAGGTACTAACCCCTACACCTTGTATGCCTGACGGATCCTTATCCACCTGCTCAGGGCAGAAATGGAGACACTCTTTCCCAGGGACAACTGACTAACAAACCCAAACAAGGATTCAGTCTATCTCAACCCCCTGGTCCTGTCCATATAGAAAACTCAAAGCCCTGTGCACGTCCAGATGATGCCAGACCGTCACCATCTCATGGCCAGGGTTTGAAGAAAAGGAGGGAAGTACCATATCTTCCTATATATGGAACCAGGAGTTAACTTTTGGGGATGAACACTGGGGCTGGTCTGAGGACGACCCTGTCATCGTAGAAGGTACATAAATCTGTGTGTACCGACAAAGCTCTCAGCCCCAAAAACCTACGCGCTGAACTGATCCCCACTAAGAAATTGTTTTCAGAGTAATATCTTTCATGGGACATGATGCCATTGGTTCAAACAGCTCCTTGCATAGTGCTCACAGCACTGCATTTAAATTCCATGCGGAGAACCTGTGTACCGGTGGTGAATTGAGGAGGAAGGCCCCCCTCAAAAACCGCCATATGTGTGGGTGATGGGGAAAAACCTACCTTCCCTAGCCCCTCCAATCGTGGAAAGGGCCATTACCTGTCGCCTTAAGAGAACTAGTACTCAACCCTTTACTCGGACCCTGTAGGAGAAAAGCCATGCCCATCTGCGCCCGCATTGGGTCCACCCCTGCTCTCCACACCAGTTAGAAGATGTTTGTCAGGATCTGTCATATATTTTGGTCATAGAAAATTTTCTGGATGCCAAGAGTGTGGAAACCATCTCTGTCTCACATCCTAGAGCTGCTAACTGTCTCCTCTCAACCTCCACGCTGTGAGTTGTAGCATGTTCAGTTGCAGATGAACGGTCATCTCCTGAGATAGAAGGTCCCGTCTGAGAGGCAGCCACCATAGATCCTGTCTGGATAGGCTCATGAGGTCCTGGAACCCCGCCCTCCGTGGACAAAAGGG